GAATGAGGATGGACTGAAGCCTTGAGATGTTGCCCAGTCTGTTCTCTTGCTTTTAGGTAAAAGTGAGATGATTCTCCCCATCGTGACTTGTTCTAATACCTAATCTTTATTTTCTGGAAATTCTCCTAATATGACTCCTTTCTAAGAATTTAAGCTAATTTCCTCAAAGACACAGAACTAATCTTGTTTCTGTCCTCTAAAGTGATTTGTATAATTTCTTTTAAAAGTTATTTTCATGCCAGGTGTAGTGGTGCACACCTGTAGTCCTGGCTACTTGGGAGACTGAGGTGGGAGGATTGCTTGAGGTTAGAAGTTTGAGGCCAGCCTGGGCAACATAGAGAGAACCCTCATCTCAAAAAAAAGAAAGCTGTTTTCTTCTTGTTGCCTCTGTTTGCTATTTGCTGTTATTTCCATTCTGTTTTTGTTTCTTTGTGTTGCTATTTTCCCTGTCAAGTGATAGGAACAGATGAAAGTTGTTTTTAAGGAACTAATCAACATCATTATAAATGAAAATTCTTTTAGAACTATAGAAAGATTTTCTAGCATTCTGTTCTCCCTTTAAAATTCAAGTTGTGAACCACCGCCTTCTTCCCTGGTCTCTTATAGTGATTCAGTAATGTTTGGGCAGATTCTGTGGTCATCACAGACAGTTGATAATGGGAACTCAGCTTTGAGAAACTTAAACAATGAGAGCAACGGATGCTACGAACTAAAAATAGCTGTTAAGACCTTTAACATTTATGCTAAACTATACATTTGGGAGGCTGTGAATTGTAGCAAGAGCTTTATTAACCTGAAATAGTTTTATTTGTCAAGTGCATTTTCATTTAGTGCAATTAGTTAGTACAAACTCAGTTTTTCTGGAGTTGTGCTTGCACAGACACACAGTATTCACCATAATATAATTATGAAGAATAAATATATCTGTGTGGCATCTCATGTCATAGGACAGGTATCCATGGCTTGACAATAAATACTCAATTAATTACTGTGTGAAAGAATCATATAATGCCAACTAGGAGAGGAAATAGCATGCAATTTAAATTTTATATGTAAACTTTGGCAAAGTGCTGCAGTAAATTACCATTTTCTTCACATTAGGCACAGTGCACAGGAAGACTGTTTTTTAACACATTAACTTCCTTGTGAGTTGTATTTAACTCATGCTAGTTTTGAGTCTGGGGCCTTGTGAAGCATATGTAACTACAGTTGGTTTGTGAAAATCTTACTTGTTGATGTTCTTATTGTTACAGTTAATATTGACAATTTAATTGCATATAACTCATGCACAACAACAATAAAAAATAACAAATTTTTCATTAAGTTAGAAAGGATTGTTTTATTTTTCAAGTTTTTATTCTATTTTCATAATAAAACACTGTGGCCCCAAGGAAAAAAAAATTTTTTGCGAGTGTGACAATCAATGTGTTAAGCAGAGTAATCTTTGGAATTTAGCATAATTTAGCATAAAAACTTTTGTTAATTTCAGGGTTTTTTTGTTTTTTTTTTTTTGAGACAGAGTCTCACTGTGTTGCCCGGGCTGGAGTGCCATGGCGTCATCCTCGCTCACAGCAACCTCAAACTCCTGGGCTCAAAGGAAAAAAAAATTTTTTGCGAGTGTGACAATC